ACTAGCCCCCAGTACAGAGATATCAGGAGCCCTGCTGGCCACATTCACTAGGCCTCAACAGAGATCTGTAAAATGGGGTTACCATGAGCCCCCCCCACCTCCCAGACTATGAAGATGAATGAAAGAGAGCACCTTGCATGTCGGTAAGGTCTTTGCAGATGCAGGTGAAGAAATATAATACTGTCATCAGAGATGCACTCTACCTGCCCTCAAGGGTGGACCCAGTACCAAACAGTACCTGACTCCTACAACTTCCTGCCACTCCCTCTCCTCTCTGGAGCCCACTGGAGCTGGCCTTTTCTCTGGGCAATTGTGGCTGGCCTGTTACCATTTGAATCTCAATGTTCCCAAGAGGTTCTTGTTTTCAATGAAGAGTCCCTAGCTTATAGAGCCATTTGGAAGACTGGAGAGCCTTTAGGAGGTGGGGCTCTAAAGGTGATACCTTCCCCTGGTTCCCACTTGCAGGCTCTGCTTCTCTTCCCTACCATGAGAACAGTCACTACCTCATGTGCCCTCAAGATGGAGACTGAAATCTCTCAGAACCCTGTGAGCCAAAATAAACCTTTCCTCCCTTAAGTCAGGTATTTTGTCAAAGTGACACAGAGATAAGTAGCACAGCCTCCCACATGGCTCCACTGGAGCACTGATATGCTCCATGAGTCCTGGCTACTGGCACACATGGCCCATGTGGGTCTCTCTGCTGCACAGGGCTGCCCTGTGATCCAGGGGAGAGTGCAGACGGCAGTGTAAGACTGCCAAGGCTCAGATGGAAAAGACAATGTCTCCTCCTTGTATACTCTTGAAACATTTGTTCTCAGGAAGCTAGCACCATGTGAGGATGCATAAGCAGCTCTAGCTGGAGGCCACATAGCCAAAGAGAGGCTTCTGCCAACAGCCAGTCTCAACTGGCAGCTGCAGAAGAGAGCCTCTTAGAAAAGGACCTTACCCCCTTGTTAGGCCTTCAGAAAACTACTGCCAGTCCTGGTGGTGCAGGCCTATCAACTCAGCTATTCTAGAAGTTAAGGCAGGAGGATGGCAAGTTCAAGGCCAGCCTGGGCTACAGTGGCATTCAAGACCTACATAAACAACTTAGTGAGACCCTATCTCAAAAGTTAACAAGAAGCCAGGGATGTTGCTCAGTGGTAAATTGCTTCCTTAGCATGCTCGAGGACCCAGGTTCCATATCTAGCACTGGGGATGGGGGTGGTAGACATCTTTGACTGCCATACTTTGCCTGGCCCCAGGCCATAACCAGTCAGCTAAGCCCCTCTCAAACTCCAGACCTTCAGAGACAGTATGAGACACAAATGGGCATTGCTGCTTTGAACTTCTATACTTAGGACATTTGTTATATCATACCACTATGTATTCATACCCCAGCGTCATCCAAGCAATGGCTCATACTACAGGAACATTTTAGAAGGTGGCATTAAGAACCAAAAAGAGGGGGCTAGAGAGATGACTCAGTGGTTAAGAGCACTGGTTGCTCTTGCAGAGGACCTGGGTTCGATTTCCAACACCCACATGGCATCTATAACTCCAGTTCCAGGGACTCCAATGAACTCATCTGATCTCCACAGGCATTGCATGACACGGGTACACTTATATGCATGCAGGCAATATACTCATATACATTAAAAAGAAGAAGAAGGAGGAGGGGGGGGTTCCAGTAGTTGGGAGAGTGGAAACTGAGGAACGACACAAAGCAAAGAAAAAATCCGCATAGCACTTTCAAAGAATCCTCTCCCATGCTTCCTCTACCTCAGTAAATAAAGCCATGCATCCCCAATCACTCTGTCTGAAGACCCCAGGATCCATTCTTTCCCACACCCCACATCCCACCTACCAGCAAGGCTCTCGTCCTTGTAATGCACCCCAGATCCACCCCTCCTTGCTGCCTTCCCATGATCTTATGAGTGCCCCAGGGGAAGCCACCAGCCAAGCCAACGGCTGTTCACAAACAGTGTCTGGTCCCTGTCCTTGCCTGAGGCTAGCACAGCTTCTCACAACGGCAATCAGGTCAGGTTTACTCTCCAGCATGCACTTGACCTTCTTTCAAGCTCATCTCACCTCAGGATCTTTACATTTGCTCTTCTCCTCCCTTACATCATCAGTGACATCATGTAGGTCCCACTTTACACAGCACTTCTTTCAAAAAGCCCTTTTGGGCTACCCCAGCCTGGCCCTCTTTATCTGTCTGGTTGTCCTAGAGCACATGGACAGGGTTGGCCAGATGCTTGGTGAATCCCTCTAGAAGCAGAAGTTAAGAGAGATGACCACTGAGCTGATATAGTGATAAACTCGGAACACTTGACTGTCTAGGGAACTCCCACTGGCCTTCCCAGTGGGAAGTGGTGGTTTGAGGGGAAAGTCTTGCCAGCTCGATCCTGGTTCCTATGGAGGAAAATCCCATGAAAGATCTAACTGTATGCTGCCCTGCCTGGCCCCCTCCCCTTCTGGCTGGCCTCTTGACTGGGCAGAGCAGGACCACTATACCCTAGCACAGGTAAGACTCACCCTCCAGGCTACTACTCACAGTCATTTTTGGCATCTCTCTGTAACAAGTGGCCACTGTCTGCCACATCTTTCTGGTCTTTTCTGGGCCCTTCTGTACCATTACTGACTTTTCAACTGACAGTAAGTTCATCACCTAATGCTTTTTATATGTGTCCCTGCTACTAGCAAGAAATGGGAAGTGAACTGGGCTTGGTGGCACATGCCTTTAATCCCAGGCAGAAGCACGCTGATCTCTGTGAGATTGAGGCCAGCCTGGTCTACATAGAGAGTTCCAGGCCAGATGGGGATACAGGGAACAGAAAGAGAGAGACAGAGAGAGAGAGAGAGAGAGAGAGAGAGAGAGAGAGAAGGAGGAGGAGGAGGAAGAGGAGGATAAAAAAGTGGGAAGTGAAGGAAGAAGGGGGGCAGGTCAGGAGGGAGAAATGTCTGCCAGTGGGCAGAGAGGACAACCAAGGGCACAGAGGGCTATGACAGACAAAGGAACTACACCAAAACCTTTTGGTGCTTCAGGTTCTCCAACTGTAAAACAACATGATCTTCTGGCCCATAAGATTACAATATTAAAATCTGATAATACATGTGGCATGCTTTCTAAGGCCTAAAGCACAAATGTTCAGTTACTGAGAGACACTGGTACAGGAAAGGGATGGAAAGCAGGAAAGGAGAGGAGTGAGAGATCTGGAAACTTCTGGGGTTAAAGGTGAACTCTGCCCTAGAGGAACTGAAGGAAGACGCAGAAACCCCCCCACCAAAGACAGAGCTGATAGATCCAGATGAGCCAGATATCCCACATTCCTCCTACAAGCCACAGACCCATTGCACCTTTGCTAGGTGAGTAGCAACCCAGAGTTCACAGATGAGAAATGCACCCCTCCAGGGAGAGCATGCCACATACTCAAGATCTCTCAGGAGGGGGCAGACCCAGACCTGTCATCCATCAGCACCCCTTCTTCTCCCACTCAGGCCCTACTCAGTTACTGTTTGGGGGTACCTATGGTGCTTCAACACTTGGCAAGACTCTCACAGCCTTAGCTCACCTAGCCTTCAAAATGTCTTAGCAAATGGTCTTCTACCCCAACATCCTTGAGATGAAGCAGGCTCAGTGAGGTCCAAGCCAGGCTTAAGGTCACCCAGCTAAGGAACCTGACAAAGATGTGCATCCCAGCACTCCTTTCTCAAAGTTCCACTTTCCTCCTCCTCCTCCTCCTCCTCCTCCTCTTCCTCCTCCTCCTCCTCCTCCCCACCTGAGGAACCTGACAAAGATGTGCATCCCAGCACTCCTTTCTCAAAGTTCCACTTTCCTCCTCCTCCTCCTCCTCCTCCTCCTCTTCCTCCTCCTCCTCCTCCTCCCCACCTGAGGAACCTGACAAAGATGTGCATCCCAGCACTCCTTTCTCAAAGTTCCACTTTCCTCCTCCTCCTCCTCCTCCTCCTCCTCTTCCTCCTCCTCCTCCTCCTCCCCACCTGAGGAACCTGACAAAGATGTGCATCCCAGCACTCCTTTCTCAAAGTTCCACTTTCCTCCTCCTCCTCCTCCTCCTCCTCCTCTTCCTCCTCCTCCTCCTCACCTGAGGAACCTGACAAAGATGTGCATCCCAGCACTCCCTTCTCAAAGTTCCACTTTCTTCTTCCTCCTCCTCCTCCTCCTTCTCCTCCTCTTCCTCCTCCTCCTCCTCACCTGAGGAACCTGACAAAGATGTGCATCCCAGCACTCCTTTCTCAAAGTTCCACT